AAAAAAAAAAAAAAAAAAAAACTCCTAACACAAATCATCGATGTTCTGACGAGGCGAGGTTGAGGTCATCGATGTTCTAGTCCTTTGTTAAGGATTTGGAAGGTTCATGCTTGGATTTGGGGATATCCGAATTTATGTTTATTGATGGTATTGCCCTTGGTCATGTCGATGTCGTCAACCTTGAAAGCCGGACGTTGAGGACGAACTTGAGGCAGTACAACCTTGCCTTGTCATCCTCACCGAAGAGGATCACTGATTATTTTAGGAATAGGAGCCAGTAGACGACTTCTGGCCAACTGATAGCGTCCAGCGAGCCCGACGGCAGAGTCTGTCTTCTTGTTGTTCTCCTAATTGGCCAAATTTATTGGTTCTAGGATTGTGGTGTCGTCAAGGACGTTGATGGAGGCACTGAACCCGACTATCCAACACCACCGTCGTCTTCTAGGATTTTGGTGTCGTCAAATATTGGTATCATGTTATATAAGTATATTGAATTTCATCAATGTTTATATGTTGTTTATATTATGTGTACATATATATATATATGTGTGTGTGTGTGTGTGTGTTCAGTTTTTGTTGTCATGTTATAAGTATATTGCATTTGATAAAAGTTTATATGTTGTTTATCTTATGTATATATATATATATATATATATATATATATATATATATATATATATACAATTTTTGTTGTCATTTTATAAGGTTATCGCAGAATCAAATAATGTATATATGTTGTTTATCTTATGTATATATATGTACAATTAATCCAACATTGTGGCTACCCCATTTCATCACTTAGTTTGATCTTTCCAGACACGGAGAGGATGAGGTACTCATACTTTCTCTATCAACATGTCGTATGAAGCAAGAAAATTCGTGTGAGCGCAATGATGAATCTCCTGGGATGCTTGATGATGTAGAGCGTGCAAAGCTCATGTCTGTTAGTTAGAATCTGACTACCTTTTGATTGAATACTTTTTGTCTTTAGTGTACGGAGAGTTAGACAATGTTGTTACTATTGGCCTTATGTTTTGTTGGATTGTTTTCACTTTGGTCTTTTGAATTTTAATGTATGAAAATTGTGCTTTTTTAATTTTTTAGTTGCACGAGGTTATCCAATCAAACTGCACTGTTGGAAACTGTTTGTTTCTTCCAGTTTTCATATTCGATCTTAAGTTTACATAAACAGAGACATATGCACATATTGGATATTACACATCAGTATTAACGTGTTTAACTAATGCATTACACCGTGTATTAAACATCCATGTAGTTTTACCAACATATTTTTTTAAACCACAAATGAAACAATATGTATCAACGTGGAACTAAGTTTGTTTCACTCACAACAGTTACCCAAACGTAAACAAAACATATTATTAGATGTACAACTTATATACGTTATAACTATACTAGCTCTTTTTTTTCATATATATTATACGCATGATACAATTATACTAAATATATACATGAACTAAACAACCATAAAGGTGATTGGGAATAGAAAAAAAAAATTCGGTAGAGCAAAAATTCGGTTAATCGATAGTTTGAATTCGAAAAAAAAAAAAATTGTCCAACCACCAAATATATGTTTAGATATACTGTATATATACATTTAAACATGATCTGACAATTCTCTATTACTAACCGTATAGTTATACATAAGATAAACAACATATAAAGAATTTGAATTCGGTAGAAAAAGGTTACGATCCCGATTGGGAATAGAAAGAAATTCGGTAGAGCAAAAATTAGGTTAATCAACATTTTGAATTCGGAAAAAAAAAAAATCGTCCAACCACCAAATATATATTTAGATATACTGTATATATACATTAGATAAACATGATCTGACAATTCTCTATTATTAACCGTATAGTTATACATAAGATAAACAACATATAAACAATTCTGAAAAGGGATTAAATATAACGTTACTTAAACAGAAAGTACTATCAAATATTACAAAGATTTGTAAACACAGAGAACTCGTCGAATACTTTAAGTAATGTGTTTACCTAACGTATATTATGCCGTGTTATAAACATAAAATAGAGACATAAGCACACATACGTATTTAACTAATGTATATTACATACTTTAATTAATGTGTTTATCTAACGTATATTATAAATACTCTAAGTAATGTGTTTACCTAACGTATATTATGCCGTGTTGTAAACATAAAATAGAGACATAAGCACCCATACGTGTTTAACTAATGTATATTACATTAAGTAATGTGTTTATCTAACGTATATTATACCGTGTTGTCAACATAAAATATAGACATAAGCACACATACGTGTTTAACTAATGTATATTAAACCGTGTTGTAAACATCCGTGTACTTGGTGTCCACTCCTACTACTAAGATAGTTATACCAACATATTTTTAGAAAACCAACTCGAGTATATGATTGTTACTTATTTATTGTTTATTTATACTCATAAGACACATAAATGTACCAAATAATCACTGGCCCTATATTCTTTTATGTACAACTTATATATGTTTGAATTACACTATTCATTTATTTTATAAAATACTCCTATACAAATATACCAAAAGTAAGGAATAACGAAACAACCATAACGGAAAGATCAGTAATATTATAAAAACTTAAACATTAAGTAAACACATCAAACCAATTTTGTTTCACTTTCTTCGGATTTGAACATGTCTTTACATTATGCCCTTTCTCACCACATTTGTTGCACCTATTTTTTACCCGAGACTCTCATCCTGGTTTAAGTCTTTGTTGTCGCCGATGTCCTGACCTCACTCTTCCAGTCGGTGGATTGATTTTTCCAATGACTTCAGCATCAACCCCACTGCATGTTTGGCTCGTGTCAATAGGGAAAACTGGTTCTGCATATGTAGCTAGCATCGTAGTCGTTAGGTAATGTATTGAACAAAAGGGAACTGGATCCAAATGTAGGGCTCTAATCACTCGGACGGCATGTGGATAGGGTAATTCACATCAGTCATGTTCCTGAAAAATAAACAGAATATGAAAANAGGCGAACTAGGAGCGTAAGTCCATACCAAAGGTCGATAATGTATGGTATCGAACTAAGAGGTATGGTTTTTGGTACATCAGTTCGAATCCTTATCCTTGCATATCCGGATTAAGAATATAGTACTGTCTATGGAGTGGGGTGTAGCCAAGGGCTGGACTTCCAGGACAGAAAGACTCTGGTTTGATAGAACGTTTTCGCCCATTCCAGGTACCATTTCTCTGCTCTACTTTTCTTTTAAAGTAGGATCCGGAAAGGGTAGTGTGATCTCACTCTGGCGGAATCAATCTAATGTGTCACAAAGTGGGAAAAGCTGGGATCTGGTTCTCTCTTCAGGGTAGATGTTTCAAAAAATCTGAGAGTTTCGAGATCGGGGGCGGAATCCTTATCAAAGGGAAGTTCATCTGAACCAGCTGTGCCCTGGGAAGTAGTACCGAATCATCCATTGGCATTTTTTTTTATTGGATTTATCGGTTTCCAGGCGAGATTATCGCCTTCTGCTCCATTATTAATATATGGAGAGAGAGTAACGGATCTACTAATTTGAAGCATAATCTCGTAAAAATGAAAAAAAGACCACTACTCAATTACTTTTGATTAAATTTTCCACCGATGGTATATATGTAAATATATCTATAGGGGTATATATGTATGTAATTTTCCCTTCATTTTCTTCCTTCTCTATCTTCATTTCTTTCCACGTTTTTTATTCTCTCTTTTTCTTCTCCCCATTTTTCTTCTTAAAAGTTCAATTAATTTGGACATCTGACTCATCCATAATCCATACTATTCATTATGCAAAAACATAATAATGTTAAAATACATGGATTAGAAATTGCAATTAAAAAAAACAAAAGTAAAGTAAATATGGAAGAAAAAAAATACCTATGAATAATTTTCTTTATAATTTTATTACTTCCCGTGCGTCATTTGCATTTTTTTAAGTGAATTAATACGTAATAATTTCAATTGCTTTATTATTTTTTCTATACAAAATAGAAAGATGTAACTACTTGTTTTAACGAAAATGACTTTCATTTAATGGCATCGTAGAATTACTGAGCAACAACACCATGAAATCGGTCTCCTCCAATGTGAAATTGTTTGGTTGCTCTTTAGAAATTGGTCATTCCTAAAGCTTTTTCTTTTTCTTTTTCTTTTTCTTTCCTCTTCACAAAAAGAGGAGTCTTTGATTTGGTTGATAATTATATGAAAGGACAACTTCTGAAAATGCTCGCATGAACTTGAGATGTTTATGCTATTTTAGGCCGTATCTATTTTATTATTTTAATGTATAATTAAAGTTTTTTTTTGTGTTTTAATTATTTTTTTATAGATAAAAACTTTCTTATATCGGAATACTTGCTTATGATTACAATTGTACCATTAAATATATATACTAAACGCAAACCTTTAAGTCTGTGCAATTTTTTATAAAATCACTTCTCCTTTTAAAATTATAATAGTATAGATCATACTTTTCCCAATTTGATGTAAACATACATAGGACAGTGTCTAACCTTATTGAAGTACTGCCATGGAGCACCATCTATATAACCCCAACAGTCCAAAGCGATAACAAAGTAGAGACTAAGAATATTTAAACTTTTCACCAGCAGAGTGCCGACACAATTTGCTAATACGAATATCCGTATGCAAGTAGAGACTAAGTTCAGTTCCTGGGGTATTTGTGCTTGGGCTCCTCATCAAAGTAAGAGGTACTACAGCGCTTTACATAGTTATCAAGTGTTTTCTGTTTCATAGGGCTGCTTTGTGGTAGATCAGCTGAAACTTCAAGGGAATTCTCATGTCCATCGAGCATCTGCCCAGCCAATGCAAACAATCAGCTTATGTTCGTATACATAGGTGAAATTGGGGTACCAATAAACCGTTATGGATAGCCACCAAAGCAAATACTCATTTCAAGTCCACAATTTTAAGGAATAGAAATAAACATATGCGCTAAGTTTGATTGCATTCCAAGAATCCAATACTTGGATATCTGAATAATAAAATACACGAACGCCGCTAGGAAGTGTGGCATACAGTTAGGCATGTCATACTTTTTTTAATAAATATGAGTGTAAAATACTGTGAAATGTCATACTTTTTGACTTGCAACTCACAAAGTCCAAATTTATAGCAAACAAAACACTGAAACATAGCACTGCAGATTCCCACACTGATTAACGTACAACATGTCATTAAAGACGGCTGGTAGCATTTTACATTTCTTTCCAAAATTAGAACAATATAAATTAAGGGAAAATGCTAGTGATTAAACACAGGCAATTTATGTGATAGGCCTGGGTCCGTGATGCATTATTGATCTAGCATGTATGTGATGATTGATAATATAAGAGTCACAAGTGACGAATATGAACATGTTATTCTCCACCTGTTACTTGCATATTCTTTCTTAAATATGATATATATAAGGATAATTATGCATTTAAGTGATGAATATTTAAGAAGATAGATGTTTCTTTGAAAATACTCATCGCCTGCATATAAATTCACCAATATCATGAGGGATATACAAGTAAAGAGTATCATAATAACACATGCAACTCCTATATTCATCACGGTTTACCTGATGTGTCAGAGTGCAATAGCATGAACAACAGTAAACACAAATTTAGAAGGACAAAGTACCTGTCCAAGATTTTCCAATTTGTTCTGAATGACATCCCTGAAAGAAGTCATCCAAGTTATTGCTATGTCGAATATACATTTTGTTTTCATAAATAAACCGGTAAGTCATGCAACTACATAGTGCATCTCTAAGGAAGTGGAAAAAGGAAAGTACCATATAATATCGTCGACAGTATCATTTGCTAGCAGGTAGTATATATTGACTGATGAGACCTATGAAAAGGAAGCAGCAGTTCTCTCATCAACTCATCCAAAAGAACTTGCATCAGAAATTCCAGAAATGAGGATATTGAACACTATTTTGTCGAGAAAACAACTTCCAATGAAAACACAATGAAACAAAAAATTTCCATAAAGTTCAAAAAACCACAGGTCTCAGATCATCCTCAAAACAGCCCAAGAATCTTAAGCCATCAGAATCTAGATAGCCAGAATCCACGAAATATAAAAATGTATCAGAGCTAACTTCAGCAGCAGAACCAGAATTTCGAGTCCCCATAATAAAGCCTACTTCCATTATGATTTTTTCATACCTGACCAATCCTATGAGCACGATCTTCAGCTTGAATCATGTCCCCTGGAGTCCAAGATAATTCTGCAAAGATCACTGTGCTTGCTGCAGTGAGTGTTAAGCCAACACCTCCAGCTTTGATGGATAACTGCACAACCATAATTGAAAAACATCTCGCACAGAGGAAAATAAGAAGTAACAACATATATAAAAAAAAAAAGGAAAGAAAAAAGGAGCAATACCACTGCAGCTTTCACTGAATCTTTCTCCTGGAATTCCGTTACAAGAGATTGTCTTGATGCTGCTGGAGTGCTGCCATCAATCCTTATGCATCCAACCTTTTTCTTCTGAAACATATTATCACAATGGACATGTAAATATGGCATGAGGGCACATATGACATCATTATATTGGAAATATAGGACTGTACCTGAAGAAACTTGTGTATTGAGTCAATCATAGGTTGATGATGCGCAAATATCAAAAACTTGCAGCCTGCCTGAACAACTTAGTGCACAACAATGAGATCACACACATAAACTAGCAAAAGAAATGTCAGAAAACATGGAAGGCAATTTTGGACAGAATCTAAACAAGCAACAATTGGATGAAAAAGAGGTGAGTACAAACAGCTACACAAACACAACAAAATGGATGTCAGATTAATTGAATTAGCCTAAAGCACAACAAATACGACCTAGAAAAACCAAAGAAATAAAATTAAACAGTCACACCCCTATTATGAGAACTTTAATTTTATTTTCCTTAAAAATGGTTTTATCCAAATTTACTTGGGTGCGTCCATGATATTAAAGCACCAAACTGAAATATTACTCCAAATTCACAATGAGCTTAATACTAGAGAAACCATGCCACTGCAAGACAGATATGGGCTGGCACAATAAAGCAGACTGAAAACCATAATAATAACAATACTATAATTTCTTTTCTTCAAATAAAAACTTGTGATAAGCCTAACATCAGATTCCAAAATCACTGTGAAACTTAGAATATCTGCCTCACACGGCCTTATTAATTAGCCTCAAAGTACATCACTGAACTACTGATACAATTTTTAGTAATAGAGAAACCATATTTAAGACTAGAAAATAATTCTAGTCAGAAAAAACTTAGTTCAAAACCATGATCAACATTCCTCATAAAGTCACATGATAACAAATACTGTTATGAGATGGAATGAACCTAACGAATTTTTAGATTCATTTTCGGATTTGGTGTCAATGGTAAAGAAAGGCCTGGGGATATATGGTTGACAGAAATTCTATGGAGCCATCGGATGGTTTTCTTATGGAGTCATTCATCACTTAATGTATTGACACCTGTCCAAAGTGTATTTATTGTAGGACACGTGTCAATACACTATTTGTGAATAAGTGTGGATGGCTCCATAAGTCGTGCCATCTAATGGCTCCATAGCAAAACTGATATTGTTGATATCTTATACCTCAATTATGGTTCCCAAGTAGTCCAGAACAGCAGGAATCTTGGCTTCTGCTGACTCAGTGTAGATCTGGAAAACAAGACATAAAAAGAATCAATACTTTCTTCGAAATATAATTTAATATACATAACTAAACTTAGGTCAAACTGAAAAAGTTAAGTGTTTGAGTTGATTATTTATGTGCTTCTAACTTTAAAATATCATAATTGCTCCATACTCCATAGTTATATAGAATGTAGAGTTAAAATTTTATCACCATCTACTTCTAAACTTTACTTAGGTTCCAACTATGTCACTTCAGAAAATATATTCAAATATGTACATATTATATTTGTATATTCATAAACTTATCTACCACAGCACCATGAAACTAAGAAATTAAAGATTTGTTTTTTAGTAAAGTTTAATTTTATAAATGAGGAAGAAAATCAAAGACTTGTATTTATAATCCAAAAAGTACACCGAAAAAAGGAAAAAAAATAAAAAATATTATGTTCCTCTGTATTCTACAGAAGCAAGTCACATTGTAGATATGGACTATTAACAGAATATAAAAGTAACAAGATACATGTATATGCATATCTACTTATTTATTTTCTTCTAAACTGAGAAGACAAAAAAGAGAAACATGCAAAGTTTAGATGGCAAATTGCATTAACATATTAGTGAGAAATGATGGAATCAACAGATATTCCGGCACTGTTGCTATTCTGGATCAAAAATTGTAAACATGCTTTGCATGGTAGGTTAACATAATAGTTTGGTTTACAATGTACAAAATCTGTATATGATCAGCATGCAAATCCACAACCACAATTCTATGCTCCATATTGTTGAAGCTAGCTTGCCAGCATCTAAAACAGCAGCTCCACTAGATGTCAATACATGCAATTATGAAAACGGTATCATAAGAAAAATGATATTAAAAGTTCAAAAGTTGATTCAAAACCCATGGCTGACATCCATTCTCACTTCTGTTGATCTCATATCACCCAGGCACTATGTACATACATACAACATACTTAACTAAAACGAAAGCGGATGGGCATGCAAACAAGGATATAATCATTTGAAATTGTAGAAAGAACTTATAGAGAAATCCTGTGGCAGTCCTACCTTATTAATAAGATTTTTTTCCGTAAACTTGAGTGATTCAGCCTCTTCTTTTGACTGGCATGCTTTAATTTTTCCTTTTACAACCTCTAGCTGTAGACAATAATAATCAATAAGACTATCTCATTTAGTTAGAACATTGAAGAAACCAGAATTCATTCAGGAAGTACCATACAGGAATAAACAACTATGAAATGCTTGTAATAAATAAAGAAAAAAAAAGGTTACGAGTTACAAAATGCATCTAATAAATTGTGATTGTGGTTTAAATAAAAACATGCATCTAACATAATCTCTTCTGATTGTCACAAAGGCTCATCAGAAGAACCAATAAACAAAAGAATTCATATCACCTCGCGAAAAAGTGCATTAATTTGTCTCATGTCCTCGTCCTTTAACTCCAAGAAAACCTGCAAGAAAGAGTGAAACAGAGCATACAAAAAAGGTCAACTCCAAAGCAGTCAAGAAGCTGAAAAAAAAATTGACTGGGGTACAGTTGGTCAGTGATTGAGGAAAGAATGGAGTCAGGGAAAAGTTGTGGAAAATGTGATTAGGGGAAACTAGAGGAGAAATGCATCATGAAGCATAAAAGGTAGTATTCATTGGTGTTTCTGGAAGTGCTTTCTGCCGAATGCTAACCAAACAAAGCATATTGTATTTAAATAAAGAGCTAGACGGGAGTTGTTCCTGCAAAACATGACGATAGAAAAATAAAGCTTTTGGCACATGTTTGGATTGGAAATTGATGATAGACGTCAAACACATATTCTACTCTAATGTGTGATGGGTAATATAGTGCATCATGCACTATAAAACAATCAATAGTTGCAAGCAGTAGAGGTGAAAGCCAAGCGTAAAATATTAGCATAATAACATCCACATTCTGATAGATCCTGACAGAAATATAACCATCACCAAGGCCCATAAGCTAGCCGACCATAATCAAACAAAGAGATGGATGTAGACACACTTTCACCAGAAAAGTTGGATGGAAGTATTATCAGAGCTAAATATATTCCTACGTCTCAACAACTCACTGACATACGGCTTGAATATTTGATATTTTCATGAACAAGCTTAGACTGATCAACATTTATGGTGAAACTCGAAGGGCATACTAACAGATTAGGTCAGATCATATCTAAATTCATTAGGAGATTAGGAACTTGTTTGGAAACACTTCTCAAATGGACTTTTGGATGCAAAATTCCATTTAAATAAATAATTTATGTTTTGCACTAAATTAAGAATGGACTATGGATAAATTGTTTCTCCAAAAGGTCCATTCTATAGAAGTAAATGATGAACACTTATGGAAAAGTCCAATTTGCATAAGCCCATTTAATAAATGGACTTTTACAAAAGTGCTACCAAACATGCACTAGATTAAGCAAGCATCCATTGATGACACTGTGTATACATTTTGGGTGATCCTTGGGAGTGCATTTGTGGAATTTATTAAACATGCACTAGATTAAGCAAGCATCCCATTGATGACACTGTGTATACATTTTGGGTGATCCTTGGGAGTGTATTTGTGGAATTTATTTTATGTACTAGAGCTTATCTTCACTGAATCCTCAACTGTGTTTAAGTACAAATTCGGAGTGATTATTGATTAGGAAAGACATAAGTGAATGTCTCTGGGCAATAAACAATCACTCACTTGCTGCCTACGTTTCACCGGAAGCTCGGAAAGAACGTCTTTCTTGAGCCTACGAATCATGAGTGTGGCTTTGATCAAATTATGCAGCTCTTCGTGATTACTTGCACCTTGATAGAGTCCAAATATTCCCTGAAAAAATCATGTTACAAAGATTATGAAGGAACTCAGCTTACACATAAATTAAACGAATACTAAAATCTTAAAATGAAAAAAACCAAAAGACATGCCAGATTCGACTTACACCCTTGCAATAACGGTTGCCATAGTCATGAACATTACTATACACATTAGGATACAATGCTTCCAGCTGCAAGCAAACACANTCATTATTTTATAAAAACAATAGATTCATAATGCATGTGGATCGCAATGGGATAGAATTACAAAGAGAAAGAAGCACAGACAAAAATTTAACGTTCAAACAACAGATATAGCTCTCTAATCTCTACTCTTTCAACTTCCCCTTGTGTCATAAATATCCTATAAGAGATTAGTGCCTTTGATCCCACCTTAGGCATTTAGGCCTCATTTGGGAAAAGTGATGGGATTAAACCCCTGATGAGGCCGATCAGGTATAGGTGATTAGTACTGTACGTATGGCTCCATCTCCCAATTCCTATCTAGTTGTCATTGGCAGAAAATTACAAAGATATCTTTCCCCTTTTTCTGCCTTGATCACTTCTACAGAAATTTGGAGCTTTCATTTGCTAATTTTAAATTTCTCTGACAAAGGACTTTTTCTGTGAAGATATTCGCAACAAAAACTGATTAGAGTTGGCCTTTAAAATCGCAATGCCGAGACTGCAAATATAAAGAAGGAAAAGTAAGATAAAAGTCAGAAAAGACTTTTGGCAGTTTTTTCTTTTCTTTGCTTTTTTCATGACTTCCCAGATTGAACTCGTCTTCATAAATGTCAAACATAGAAATCTCACCTCGCCTCAGCAAGCCGTTGGCTAAGGTTTGTGCAGAATAACGATTTCTTTTAACACAGTAAGTGTTAGAAATTATGTTTGTGCCACATCGATTAGTTACTGGGTTGTTATTATCTACAAGTGTGAGTTGGGCACCCTCTCCCTCAGAGCTAGCTTATGGGGATGAGTTTTCTCCAAGCCCGTTTGCTATGGTATCAAAGCACCCAGGTTTTGTTTGTTTGGAGGCGATGTTGGGTTTGGACCCAGCCCATTTGGTTTGGCCGGCATGCATAAAGGGCGGCTGTTAGAAGTTATGTTTGTCCCACATCAATTAGTTATTGGGTTGTTATTATGTATAAGTGTGGGGTAGGCACCCTATCCCTTTGAGCTAGCTTTTGGGGATGAGATCTACACAAGCCCATTTATCATTAAGAACAATTTTTTATAAAGGTTTACCTGCTAGTTCCGGTACGTCGACTTCGAGCAGAAGGCGTTTTTAAGGGCGAGATGGAGATTTCTACAAAGGTGATAAGACGTAAGCACTGAGTAGGAATAAAACCTCCCGTGGAGTGAATCCAATTTCCTCAATTTGAAGGATTTTTTACCGGACCTCAAATAATCAATGGGCTCATTTCAAAAATTACAAACGCACATATTAGGTGAGACTTCACGCCTTTTCCTCACAATTCCCACCCTTTCCCAAATTCCCAAACGTGCCCTTAGGCCGTAGGCAAGGATGGACTAAACAAAACTAACAGTTGCATCATTCCTGCTGCATAACACTGTCAAGTCTATCAAGGATAAGAATATTCATGTATGACTGGAAAATCACCTGGAGTATAGGAAGGGACGCGTTTGTCCGTTTTGCTTGGCCATTCTTCAAGAAATGAGATTCATCTGCTATCACAACCTGAATAGACATATAATGATTGGTTAAAAGTTGAAACTAATCAACTACAATTGAAGCATAGACAGTATTTCTGAGCTAGGACTCACATAATTGTATCACTAGTAACATGGTCATTGGAAAAGGTTGTCTTAATGGATTAGTAATAAATTTATGCACTTGTGTGATTACCCAACTATGCCACATGCAGCGTACAAATGAAGAGAACTTGGATTTTCATTCATATAATTAAAAGACAGCAGTTTGTATCTGGAATTTGCACTGGCAAAACCAAGTGATGACCTATATATATATATATATAAGTTCCACTCGGCATAGCCAGGATGGAGCTACTGGAATTGGTATGCCCTGGATAATTACTAAGCCACTGCTCTCCCCATCTGAGAGAAGCAGCAAGAGCTAGCATCCCCTTGGGAAGATTCGGAATTCATTCAACTATATATATATATATACCATTTACCCTGAATTACTTAATGTAATTCCTTTACATAAAACCTCGAAATAGGACAGATCCTCTCACTAAAACTAACTGCACTACAACTCTCAAGCACTACTTTCAGTCATCCAATTCTCAGAATCGTCTAACTTATCTAACCCTAAAAAATAAATTGGGACAGAATATAGTATGAATAAAATGCAAAATAAAAATTGAAACATAAAATTACACTCAACCTGCAGCATGTTATGTTCACACTTTTGTGTGATAAACATGAATACAAGCTTCTAAGGGGTAAGAAAACATAGTCACCGTGTTATATATTCACTCAAGAAAAAATTACATGACAATGAACTAAATACGAAATAACTTAACTCCTCATTTAATGTCAAAATTCACTAGCAAATATGCAGAAATAGCAGCAACAAAAGTCTAATATTAAGAAGTGCAACAATCCAATGTCTGTAATTTGAAATTATACAACACGAATAAGCACCAGTATAATACACATAACACTGCGTTTCAGACTATTACCTTAAAATTTGAAGCCAAAAGTGTGTCTTGTAACTTTGGTACAATATCATAGGATATGATGTTAAAAAGCCCATCAAGATTCACGGGCCTTTTAGTGTTTGATGGCACTATATTGAATCCGCTTCTATTTGAACCACACCACTGAGACAAAACCACCTGAGCAAAAAGAAGGAACCTAAGCAAATCTGCCTCCCCCAAGTAAACATTCATCAATATAAACATGGAGTATATATCATTCCACGGTCCAACATTAGATATTAAAGTTAAATAAATTCTGCCCCAACAATATTAAAAATAAATAAATAAATAAAACAGGGAAAACAAAGGGGAGGGGCGAGGGAGGGACAGGAGAACCAAGTAAATTTAGAAAGGGTCAAGCAGGAAGAGTTCATTTAAAATAAGTTATAAGTATCCTCATATCTAAACTTCTAGGGTTGAAAGAATTTCAACCTTGCTGCCTGCATGGACTTCTTTGAAACAAATTGATTGTTTGAACTTCTTCAGATTAATCTTTTATAATGTCGTAGGAAGTGTTGTAATGATTACTTAATGAAGGAAAATTTGATTAAATGCTTACTTCAGCAAAAATCAATCTGTGTTTAACTATTTGATTCATTTTCTGCTTTCCTTCATTTAAGGTACACTTTTTGCTTGTTAGATTTTTAACAATTGACAGAATGACGCTTGCGATTAGTTTTTAGGGTCTTTATTTCCTTTTATGTAGCAGGGAATAATGTATAAGTATATAGGGGTGTAAACGAGCCGAGCTCGGCTCGGCTCGTGAACTTAACGAGCTTATAATCGAGCTCAAGCTCTGCTTGTTTATCAATATTACTGAGCTGAGCTTGAGTCGAAATCGAGCTTTAACTAGCTTAACTACAGAAAATTATATAAAAATCATCTTTTCGAGCCTTAACGAGCCTTACAGAGCCGCCACAAACAAGCTTTAAAAGAGCTCAATCTCAGCTCATTTATGCCGAGCCGAGCTTATGAGCAGCTCATTTCATTTAACAACTCTAAATACAAGATATTGACATTTAAAAAAAAATCTCAAACTTATGTTTTACAAGATGTAAGGCAGGAAACTACTATTGCAATTCTAAACCATACTAATGGTGCATAGAATACACACACATATAACGCACCCTAATTCTTTACGTTCATAGTTTGACAATGTACCAGACAGCAAATGATAGTTATGATATCATGCAAATTTGATGAGGCGCTGCAGAATTACAATGAAGAGAACATGCTCATAATCTTCTAGATCATAAAGATGGTGGGATCACAATGTGTACATTCCATGAAGTATAGGGGATGGCGTCCGCCAACAAAGCTAAGAGTGACATTTAACAATTTGAAACTTGACAAGTTACAAGTGTAGAATGAGAAGTATACATAAATCAACTTGAAGAATACTGCATAGTGCCAAATGACTTGGTATTTCAAGTAATTCAAATTCCACTTCTTTGAGGTTCCGGTACGTTATATACAGATCAAATCTGAGGTATTACGCTTTATTACATGACAAAAGGTTTCAATGAAGTATAAAATTAAGATATATAGATAAATACACACACACATGAGGATCCGGCATCCGGGGTTAAATTTAACACTAATGAAAGGACCAATTACCACTAACCAAAACCCATTTGCTTCACAGTCAAAACAAATAAAAAAACATCAGAATAAGCATACCAGTATATCTGATGGGGCAATATTCAGCCACTGTTGAATCATCTGCATGAAAACAGCAGATTTCAATGTGAATGCACAACCATTTCTAGGCAATGGTATACCAACCAGTTCACTTACAGAAGCCCAGTGAAGGCGCAAGGAAGACGGAGTAAGAATCAGAACTGGCCATGCTTCACGAATGCAAGAGGCTACTGCAATGGCCTGAAACGTGATTTATTTTGATTTGCCAAATGCCTAAACATTGTTGAATACAAACAGAAATTTCTGTACATAATTAGAGAGTCCTAATATCCAGTAACTGTCTAACCGAAATAATTCAACTACAGCAAACGATGGTTTTTATCTCAAAAAACTACAGTTTCATAACATTTTATGCGCAATTCAACTAGTTTTTTCTAAGTGAAACTAGCAAAGTAACTACAGAATACTATGAGTAAATTTCTCTTNCACAAGAAAAAAAAAATAAAAAAAAAATGAAGCATATCTAGGTATACAGATAAACACCTGAAGAGTCTTGCCTAGCCCCATCTCATCAGCCAGAAGGGCCCGTCCTCCATGCTGCAATACAAATCTGAAAAGAGCCAAATTAGCAAATTCCAATTCTATACTGATGAAAAAGAGCAGTAGAGTAAGTAACAGAATGACATTGAGAAACAAAGGGGAATACTGTACTGCACAAAAAAGTATACTTGCCTGACACCATCACGTTGAAAAGGCAAGAGCTTTGCTTCAATACTTGTGGGAATTTTATCATACCGATCTGTAGAGAACATGGAATGTGAACACTTAGAAGTTGGGCACAATAAATAAAGAGGCACCCCAACAAAAATAGAAAGGGGCGAAGTTTGTGGGGGGAAAAAAAACATTTGCATTGAAACATTATTTCGAAGGATTTGGATTTTAATGGGAAGATGTCAGTCCCTTGAGAACAGCTTTCAAACTATAAAGTCATTGGCAAGATTACTGGGAAGTTCATTGATAAGTAAAAAAGTGGGAAATGTGATGGACAAACAACTTAGTTGTTAGATCCAAAAGAACAATCTGTCATGTTTATCTTTGAAGTCGGGAAGGTGCTGAAATTTCAAATGTCACTTTAAACCCTGAAAAACAAATTTAAAAGAGATGCAATTGTGTAACTCAGGAATTTCAAGAACACTCTTTCAACTATATCATGTTCTATATTAAGTAAAATTCTTATACATTTTTTTATGATGTAGCATAACACCCAAGTAAACTCTGAAGTTATTTCACATACAACCAGTTAACTGACCCACATAACTTCCAACCTGGCCCCTACCATAGGACAAAGTACTGGAACCCACCCAAAAAGAGAGAAGGAAAAAAATAAAATAAAATAAGACAATTATAATTCTTAAACCAGAATATAACTTCCTCACTTGCTGATTAGCTCCATAATATATAGTATATACCTAGAAAAATCTCCCAGAATATTATCTTCCAATTTGTCTTAACTAAAGTTTTGGTGACACTTGGCTGAAGAATCCAACTAAACAGTTACATTTGTTTGTATTCAAATACTCACTAATTTCCCTCTTACAAGTTGACAGCAAACAGAAGAAACAAATTTACCTTGAAGATCTGGGATTGATGTGGCAGCAGCAATAGCACGTCTCACCAGAGGATCCAAATTCTCTATCTGGAACTTAAAAGAAAGTCGTGTACAATTTAATCGTCACAGCCATGAATCACATACATCATCATATTCCTGAATTTCTTTCCAAATTACTTCTTCATGATAGTAAGTTACATCACAGAAGGATATGGATAAGAACATGTATTTGTTTACACCTTCACGGTATGCATAAAATAAAAATAAGTTGAAAGGTTCCCAATGAAAAGCAGTACCTCCACATAAGAGTTAGGGACATCACGAAGAACACTTTCTGCCGTTGATAGTGATGACATAGGAAACATCCACAACCTGAAAAAGATTAAAGAAAGTTGCAAGCTACTAATAGTTACAACATAATGCAAGTATGTAACAGATAAAAAAAGTAAGAAAGATCTATAAAATAAAAAAATAAAAGACAAGAAACATGCAGCTCTCTATTTATTATTTTATGTCCACGTCCGAGAGGTTCAAATTTTTAAATGTTCCATGCAACTGGATGCCTAATCCATGAAAAGATGAACAGACCTTTCTTTCGAATTCCAACTAGCTCTTGGAATATTGTGGAAAGCTCCAAGGAGTACCTTTTAGAAAGCATTAACAATTAGAAAAATGACGGTATCCGAGAAATAAACATTCATGTCTATGAAAATAATCAATCATACCTTGTCATAAGGAAATTTTGCAGCAATATTTCCAGTGGCATGCAGAAAAAATTTAACTATAACTTTCTGAAGCTGTTGCTTAGGAGGATCATCTTAAGTTAGGAGGAAGCATATATCCCACATGGGTGCAGCGTGCAGGTGAAGACAAAGTAAGAATGCAGTTAAAAATATACGAGCACAGTTTACAACTAGAAAAGTGAAACCGGTAACTCACCAATTGCATGTGGCACTATAGACGAAGGCAATGCTCTCGCCTGGAAAATTGAGCAAAAATAATGTTGCAAGTTATAGAAAGATTATCTCCTGTGAAACAGAATCTACTTCAGAGTAGGTACAATCAAGAAATGAAGTAACCACACCCAAACAATTTCAAAAAATTATTAATGCAGAAAGCATCAAAAGGACAACGGCTTACATGCCCCAAGGTTTTAATTTTTGGTTATCTGAGTTTATTATTAATTCCTATTTTTGCCTTTTGCAATTCCATCAGAAAACAAATGATGAGACGAATTCAAAGCATTTTTACCTCATCAAATTGACTTCCAATAAAATAGTGGTGAAAGAAAAAGATGATCAGATGGGAATAGCTTCACATTAACTTATTCAAGAACATTTCCTTTGATGAAATTAAAACTAGAAAAAAAAATATATATATATATATAAGAAGGGTAGAAAAGCTGAATTTCTTTAAAATAGAGTCACAAACAAAACTTTGCCCACTTAGATTACACAGCACTTTCCATTAACCAGATGAACATAACCATAAAACGAGATGCACGGGAAAGGGGTTGAGGGAGAAATGAGTAAACCCCCACCTTATCATCATCCACTGGCGGGCGAGAGTGAGAGGTGGCCTTGGCCGGAGAACGACAAGAGTTCCCATATTCCGGCGGATAAGATAATTTAGGGCTAATTCCCCGACTATTTCTTGCTATGGCAGCAGCGGAAGAAGAAGAATCGCGCTCCGCCAAATTCTTGGTGTGAAATGTGGGCTTGGCTGGAGAACGAGAAGATGGAACATTCGCGGGAAAAGAAAACGCTTTGGTGTCATTGCTCCTGTTGTTACTGGTTGTGGCGGCGGAGGAGGAATTGTTTCGTTCAGCCAATTGCCTAAGGGCGTCTCTTTCCAGGGCGTCCAGTTCCTCTGCGCTTATATCCCCCCAATCATCCATCTTCGCTGTGCAAGTCTGAATTATCTCTTAAGCTCATGAGATTTTTTTCAGGTAATCTGAACTTTGCGCTCACGAGGCTTCTTCGTTTCAAAATGCTGCCGTAATTTGAACTGTGTCATGTATGAGTATGTCTGAGTATGTCTTTTCACTTCTTTTAAATAAACTAGTACGCTGCATTTATTGGGTGATTTATTTAAAAAAAAAATTGAAAAATAAGTGGACAAAAAAAAAAAAAAAAAAAAAAAAAGTGGGTAGACCGAAATAGAAAGCCCGTATTTAGTAAATACGTTTTCGTATTTTTTTTTAATGAAAAACGTATTTAGCAAATACGTCCTTAAATTAAATTTGTTTACTTTTTTAAAAAACATATTGCCGAAAAAATGTATATACAATTTAATTATAAAACGTATTAACAAAATACGTTTTAAAGAAAACCCCAAATTTAAATTGGAAATCCTAAAACCTAAATAAATCAATTTTTGTTTTATAAAAAAAATCAATTTTCGTTTTATAAAACGTATTTCATGAATACGGTTTTTAATATTAATTAATTTTTAACAAACTAAATTAAAATAAAACGTATATAAGAAATACGTTTTTTAATTAAATAAAAATATAAAACGTATTTACAAAATACGGTTTTTAACAAAATATAAGTAAAAAAAAATCGGGTTCTCCTCCATTTCCATTCTACATCTGCGAGGGCGAGAAGCTGCGAGGAAAAAAAAAATTCACTTCCTTCCATCCATTATTTACCTCAAAATAAAAAAAAAATAAAAAAAAAAGCTTTTAACAGTCAATCGATTCGGAGAAGAGGTTAGTTGTTATTTTAATATAATGTAATTACATATTTTTTTTTGTTTATGAATTTGTAAGAAATATTTGTTGGTTTTTATGAGTGTAGTTTAGAAAAGATTTATTGTTGATTTAATAGTTGTGTTAAATGATTATACATTGTTCTTTGATGATGGATTTCGGTGTATGTTGAGAATTTTTTGGAAAATTGGATGATTTGTATTGTATTGTTGGATTATGAGAATTAGGGTTTGGAGAGTTATTTTATAAAAGAACATTTGATTTTCTTTTTTTTGTTATTGTAGTATTAATTGGAAATACTTATCTTGAATTGAGTAAAAGAATAATTGAATTTTTTGAGAAATTATGTGATGTTGTAATTGGGAAGAATTGAAAGTGTTTATATGTTATTGATGAATTTTATTTTTTTGTTGTGTGAATGATAAAAGAATAATTGAATTTTTTGGGTGTTGGGTTAGAAAGTATGTGTTGTTGTAATTGGGAAGAATTATTTTTTGCAACAGGTATAAATGGCATCCACCGGACCATACTTTGTTAATGTGTATTGGAATGTTCCGAAGGAGTTGTTATATGATTTTTCTGATTTTAAAAACTCTCCGGATGGTTCATTTAGCATTGGAGAGAAGCTATCATTTAAAAAATTGGTAGATATTCTTTATGAAAATTTTGGGTTTCATCGAGATGGTTGGATAATTGAGAAGATTAGTTTACTGAGTAGCCAACGCAATGGTTCGTGGAATATTGGAAACCTGAATACTGATAGTGCTCTTGACTGGATATATTATTCCCCTCCTTTCTCCTATGTGTATTTGCATTTAGAGTTGAAGCAGGTTACGCAGGCACCTACAGAGGTTACGCAGTTTGAGGATGTTGCCCTTTTTACGGGGGAGTGGCTGATGTTGAGGGTACGTCCACTTCGCATGTTCGTAATTTTGGCGAAGGAACAAGCTCAACAGTTAGAGAATGCGATAATAAGGGTGATGATGATTTCGTTCGCGGTGAAGACGATTTCACAGATGATACCTCGGAAACGGAAACAGATAGATCAATAAACGAGGAGAGTGAACCAGGATTTATTGAAGAACACCCATTTCCTAGTACCGGTCAGCACGTGTATCGCGAGATGGGTGAGTGGGACCCGTCGTGTGTAGACCGTGATGAGTATGCCTTGCCAGTGTGGGATGGGCATGTCGATACTATCCGTTTGGGTACTGTTTTCCGGTCCAAGAAAGATGCACAGATGGGTATCATGAGTTGGAACGTTAGTAGGTTGAGGGAGATTAAGACAACATATTCGAATAAGAAAACATTCAAGGTGGTGTGCACATCTAACGAAGATGAACCTTGTCCGTGGATGGGTCGGGTGACGCACTGCACACGGGTTCATGAAATGTGGGAAGTAAGAGAATGGACTGAGCGGGACAGTTGTATGCAAGAAGTCAAAAAAAATGACCACAGAAATGTAACCGCCACAATGATTTCACATCTTGTCATGACCAAGATTCAAAAGAAACCCGACTACAGTGTTACCCTGATCCAGGAGGATGTTAAAAAATGTTGGAAAGTCGATGTGAGCTACAAGAAGGCATGGCACGGGAGGAAAAAGGCCATCGATCGTTTGTATGGCACTTGGGAATCGAACTTCGCACAACTCCCTCAGTAAGAAAAACGCTTATTAAAAATGTATGTGTTATTTGTCACTATGTTTATGTATTGACGATTACGTTTTGTAACGTGCAGGTTTTTTGCGGCGCTTCAAAGTGCGAATCCCACTACGGTTGTAGAGTGGGAATGGCAAGGTGGGGAAATGGCGGCCCGCTATCAGCACAGAGAATTCAAATTTGTTTTCTGGGCGTTTGGTCCCGCCATTCAGACCTTTCAGAGATGCCCGCCGGTAATTAGTATGGACGGCACACATTTGCGTGGCTCGTACAAGGGGAAGTTGCTCGTGGCCGTTGCACAGACTGCGAATAAGCGGCTATTGCCAATTGCCTATGCGATTGTCGATGAAGAGAGCCAGGAAAGCTGGTCATTTTTCCTGACAAATCTCCGGCAACATGTTGTCGGCGACAGACAGATATGCTTTCTTTCGGACAGGGATGCGGGCTTACAGAGTGTCGTGGAATCATTGGAAGCGTGGCAAGAACCCGCTGCATATCACCGGATTTATCTTCGACACCTTCGGAGCAACGTGGTTACAAGGTACAGGAATAACAAAATCTGAAATTGGTGTTGGGAGTTGGGTTCACAGGTTTCAGAGAAAAAATTTGAACAGATACGATCGCGGCTTTTGAATTTTAATCCGGACGCATACGAGTACCTGTTCAGAATTCCTCTAGACAAGTGGACCTTGTTTGGAGACGGAGGACGTAGATGGGGTACTTTGACAACCAACATGTCCGAGAGTTACAACAACGTCCTGAAAGGTGATAGGTTCTTGCCCTGCCGAGCTTTGGTACACGCCACATTCATGAAAACTCTGGACTTGTTTGAGCAGGAACAAAAGAAGTCCACGAGATGCAGTAATGTCATTGCTAGTGCCCACTATGCCGCTTATTGCGAATTAGAGGCTACGGCCGCAACTCATGAGGTGCGATGTTCGAACGCAGAGAGATCCCTGTACAAGGTGATAACCGGTCTACGGGCTGATGGTAGAGGCGACAAAAGGTAAACGGTTTATTTATTTATTGTATAATTATTATTTTTTTTTATTTCCGTTCATTCAAATTTTTAGTTGTTTATAAATATAATTAAATGTGGAAAAACAGGTATAAGGTTTCGTACAACCGGATGCGTTGTAGTTGTCAGAAGTGGCAGACACACAGGAAACCATGCTCTCATGCTATAGCTGTGTGTCGTCAAATAAAAGGTCAACCAAAGTTATTGTACGATCCCCACTTTTGGTCGGAGAACTGGGTGGCTCAATTTTCTAATTGGAGTTTTGCTCCGATTGGTGATCCAGACACATGGCCGCTAGTCGGATGGAACTTACTACCAAATTGGCAGAGGATCATCACGAAGGCTGGACCTGGTCGCGCGCAAACGAAGCGTCATCGCATGCAAATGGATCGTCGGGCACGCCGTCGGGCTGATAGAGGACAGTGTAGTAGATGTGGTAATCCACAACATTTTGTGGATGACTGTCCGTCCTCGCATCCTCGCACTGATAGATCTAGAGTCCGTGATGAATGGGGAAACTAGATTTGTTAGTGTTTAATCCACAGCATTTTATGTTGGACTATTTTTTTTATTGTTTACTTTGATTTGTTAGACTATGTTTGGATGATATATTTTTGTTATGTTGGACTGCATATAAGTTTATTTGTTTATGTATTTTGGTGTAGTTGGTTGTTCTGAATATTTGTAACAGGTTTTAAATGCTGAAACAATTGAAAGAACAAGTTTTTTTTTTTTATAACAGCTGAAAACGTATTCAGCAAATACGTTTTAAAAATAATACATATTTAGAAACGTATTTGCTGAATACGTTTTCCGAGAATTATGAACGGTTTTAAAATAATTCGTATTAGAAAACGTATTTAGCAAATACGTTTTCATAAGAATAAAAAAAAGGTAGGAGGATCCCAGATTCGGGACTCGAACCCGAGTGGGCGAGTCCGTTATCTCTGGGCGCACCTCGTTACCATTGGGCCGCACTAGGCTATCGCTGAAAGTTTTGCACAACTTTTCTTGTTATCTTTCAACTTCAAAATTTTTTATAGTATATAATATTGTTAATATATTGTATATACATATATATTATAATTTGACATATAGTTTAATATATTATATCTTATATCTTATATCTTAAATGTTATAGTTTATATTTTATATCTTATATCTTATAGTTTATATCTTATAGTTTATAGTTTATAGTTTATATCTTATAGTTTATATCTTATATCTTATAGTTTATATATTATATCTTATATCTTATAGTTTATAGTTTATATATTATAGTTTATAGTTTATAGTTTATATCTTATAGTTTATATCTTATAGTTTATAGTTTATATCTTATAGTTTATAGTTTATAGTTTATATCTTATAGTTTATATCTTATAGTTTATATCTTATATCTTATAGTTTATATCTTATAATTTATATCTTATATCTTATAGTTTATATATTATATCTTATATGTTAAATGTTACAATTTACATATTATATCTTATAGTTTATATCTTATATAGTATATGTTAAAATATGTTATAGAATATTATACTATATGTTATATACTATATACTATATATTATAATAATATATACTATATGTTAAAATATATATACATATATACAATATATTAAAAAAAAATAAAAAATTAAAGAAACCGTATTTGCTGAATACGGTTTAC